CTGTATAGATCCCTTGCAGTCTACTCTTGGATTTAAAAAGAAAAGATAGAAGCAAAGCCCAAAGCATGTTGTCAGGACTATTTGAAAATAATTGAATTTAGGAGAAACATGAGAGGATTTTTTTTCTCAGCCCAGAGTGTAGTCCTGCTTTAGGGTTAAGTGACTTCAGTGATGAAAAGAGAGGAGTGTCCTTCCAGGTTCATTCTTCTTTATTATATAAAGCTGTCTTCAAAATGATCAGCTGTTCTTTCTAGCTGCCACACATAATCTGGTTTGTGGAAGGCTTGGTAGAGTACTTCAGAATGAGGAATTCGTTGTGTTCAAGTTTTTGAATATTGCTTATGGTTTTCTTTAAACAGATGTAAAATGATGCTGAGATTATTTTTTATTTTCTGGTATATTAGCTTCTGAATACTTTTGTGGTAGGTTGTTTCTCTTGATTAAAAAAATAAACAAGTAGACCAGCTGTAATCTAAGTAGGAAACATAAGAATTTACAGTGTGGGTAATGGTTGGATTTTATCAGGAAAAGCAGCTCTCTTGATTAGACAGTTTTCTGGCATTCAGAATCCATTGCTTATATGGGATAGTAAAATATGTGTAATTGATTAAAGAATGAAAGTTTGTTATTTAGGGAAAAGGGAGGTGAATGAAGAGCTTGAACAGTTCTTATTCAAGCAGAACACTTTCATTTTTGTTTGCTAGTGTTCATATGAAAACTGCTTTTATAAGCACTTCAGCCAAAATGGTTTGTCCTTTTTTTTTTTGCTTTCTACTCTGTACATTAGCACTGTGGTTATTATACCAGCTGTCAAGAAATCTCAAATGCCTTTTGCATGTAAGCACTGTCAATGCACACCAGGCAATGCCTCTCACATTCTCTATAAAGATTTAAAACAAGAAATTGAAGAATTTTGGAGCATGCATTTCTAAGTTGTTCATATTTAAATGTTTTTTGTTTTCATTTTCTTGGTTTGGGTTGAAATGAGAGGAGGAAGTTGTGTATTTTTGTATTTGAAGGTAATTCCTCACTTTGTATGCTTAGGAAGAATCAGATCATTTTTTTCCAGTTAGAGTTTTCTGCTCTGGTCTATCCTTAGTAGACAGAACAGTCAGACTTGGCATATTACCTAATTCTTGTCAATGATTGGAGTATCAAAGACCCCCTTCTTCAGAGAATTCAGCTCATGAAAGTCAATCTTTGTTTAAATAGGCGTGTTTAGTTTGGCATAGCTACTCCCCTCAAACTTACTTTCTTTTGCTGCTCTTTTCTAATGGAGTTATTTTTTGGTTTGGGGGAGGGGGTTGCTAAAAGAGAAAGAATAGTAAATGACAGTTCACCAAATATCTATGGCTCTTGGTGGCAGAAGTTTTTTGTAAATAGCAACAGATACATGGAAGTTCTCAGTCTCATGGGTTTTGCTCCATTTTCTTTTGTTTGATGCTTTCTTATAGCAAAAAAGGAAGTTAAAGGCTGGGCTTGGTTACTTTTGAGTTCAGAAGAATCTAATTAGATGTCAACTCTGTTCCTATAAACCACTGTGCTGAGACCTTTTTGAAGAATTTTGAAAAATGAAAGCATATTGCTTATTGCTATTAGGAAATCTTTAAATAAAAAACTAGATAATCTTTGATCTTCCTAATAGCATAGATGGTTTATGAGAGAGAGCTTAAAAATATATTAAATTTGTCTTCACTTCTTGTGTTCTTAGTAATTATCTGTTTTCCATAACAGAGAAAACAGTTTTAATCCAATGACTTTGGCTGATGTCAGTAGGACCAAATGTTTATAAATGCGGATTGAGTCCAGGACCATTTGGTAACAAGTTGAGTGGATTTCAAGTAGGTACTTTAGTATGTTAAGCAAGTATCTATATGAGTTATTAATCAGTAAGAGTTATGACCATAATATAGAGAAAATTAAGTTGTGGGTTATGGATTTGGAGACAGGTCTCAGTAAACTGAGGACAATTTATTTTTGAGACAGGGTCTCACTTTGTAGTCAAGGGTGGCCTTGAACTCACTGCAATCCTCTTGCCTCAGCTTTCTGATTATTAAGATTATAGACATGCTCCACCATGTCCCACTATGAAAAGAAATTTGTGTGAAAAAGTCTACTAGAAACGTATTTGATTGCGCATCAACAGGAAGTGCTTTCTAAATCTTGGACTCTGCCCTGAGAACTGAAAACTGCTGGTTTGTTTAAACGAGTAGTTTAAAAGCTCGAAGGTTGTTTGTTGTTGCTTAATTCCTGTTGGATATTGGAACTGACCAGGAAGGAGGGAATCAGAAAGGTAGTTTGAAAACAAGTTCTGTCCACAGTGTTCTCATTGATCACTTTGGAAGATCAAAATTATTAACACGTTCTCAGGCAAGTCTCCCACCTTTGATTTTGCACATACATGTCTAAAATAGATTTTCAATAAACCAAAAGAAAAAAATGCACATTTATAATAGGGATATACAATAGTAAAATCTAATTGAAAATAGTTTTCATTTAATCAAAGTGTGCTGTTACTTTTTTTAAAGGATAGGAAACGTTTGTGAGCAACCTGAAGTAACTTTGAAAGATCATAGTTTGATTGAAAGATGTTAATATAGAATGTTATATATGGAATTTAACAGGCACCTAGGTACCCACCACTCAAAATTTTAAAAAGTAACATTTGTCATAGTGCTTCTGATTACTTTTCATTTTTAAAGAAGCCATTACATTTGAAATTGAATTTCCCTGTTTTCTTGCCCCACATCTCTTCTTTCTTCTCTATGGGTAGTACTGTCACAAATTCAGCATATATGTAATCTGTGTTTTATAATTTCATCTCATATAAACAAAGTTTTTTGTATTTTGGGGTCTTTTTAGTTTACATAAAAGTTGTCATATGGTACATCTCATTGCGTAATCTGCTTTAGTCTCCCCAATGTTGTGTTTTGGGGACTCAGCAAATTGAAACACATAGATCTAGATCACTGAATTTTAGCTCTTCTGTGGTATCCTGCTATATAAATATAATCAGATCTGTTCCACTTCTCAGTCATTTGAGTTATTTTCAATTTCTTTCTGTTATAAACAGTGCTACCAGGTAATGTCCTCAGTATGTGTATCACCAGGCTTTATATCAAGATGGGCTAATGCCTCAGTGGGCACCTTTTCAACTTTATTAGAACATGCTAAATTACTCTCTAAAGTGAATGTAGCAGTCCTCTTTCCTTTAGCAAATGTTGAGTATCTTCATTGTCATATCCTCACCAGCACTTAAAACTGGGGGAAGTGTGTGCCTTTTCTTTTATAGATAAGGAAACTGAAGTGTATAGGGAAAGTACTTTTACTAGTCACACTAAATAACAGAACCAGGATCTAAATCAAGTATAATTCGACAGCCATTTGTTCTGTTATCCTCGTAGTGTTAATAAGCTGACATAGTAAGTTTCACATACCATAATCAAGGTAGTAGCAGGGCACTGGACTTAAAGAGTCATGAGTTCTACAGATAGACATCTGAGTAGGTGCCATAGCCTGGCACTGTGCTAAAAAGACTTGAAGAGTAATGGGTGAATGGCCTCTCCCACCGAAGAGCACTCAGTGCAGAATAACCTGACATATTTAGTAAAGGACCTATGAACCATGTGGGCGTTGCAAGAATAACTACTGCAAAAGGAATGGAAAGGACTCTGGAGGTTGGGGTGTCTGGCAATGTCTTTTCTGGTGTCTTTATGTCTTCTTGCCATCATTACTCCAGCAGGCCCCCACCCCCACCCAGTCCATATGTCTGAGCTTTAGAAAGCATCTTGGCCCATAATTCAGAGTTTGTCTGGACATCTTGACAAGATCTGTAATGCTTCTTGAAGCAGTATATGAGACATTGTCTCATAAATGGTATCCCAGTCTCCTGCGCAAACTTGCCCTCATCAGGTGTGCCCAAAGACAAATCTTACTTGTTTCTGCTTCACCTCTGACTTCTTGCCGCCATTGTTTTATGACTTCATAGCTGCAGTAGAGTTGATAATAACCCTTCTGAGGCACAACTGATTTGAATTTTACATCATTGGTCTTTGAAGGCCAATGGGCTGAAACATTAAAAGAATTTTGAGATCAAATTGTAGTCTCTCTTTATCTTTCAGGAAGTCTCCCATCTTCCCCAGTCTAAGTTCCTAGGGGTGCTTTGAGGTAGTTGTGATCACCTTGTTTGTGTGACTCTTAAACTCAGAGGGTTGTGACAAACTCAAGGTAGTTTATTATCCTGAGAAGGGTAGCCAGGTACATTTTCATATCCACGTTGTGTTAGTTACTTTTCTCTCATTGCTGAGACAAAATACCCAACACCCAAAGTTAAGGGGGGAAAGGTTTATTTGGCTTACATTTCATACAGGTTTTAGGCCATAATTGGCTGGCTCCAGGGCAGGGTGGCAGAGGAGCAATGGTGCATGGCAGTGGAAGCAGCAAAAGCAACAAGAGAACCTTACCAGCGTCATGCCCCTTTTATTCACACTGCTTAGGATGGGTAGCACTCACACACTTAATCCCGGTGCCTTTGAGCCTAGCCCCACCATGACTCAGTCACACACGTTCTAGTTTCAGCTACCTCTGATCTAAACACAAGTTGTAACACATGTCATGCAGTTTGTTACAGTAATGCAAACATTACAGTTCCCTGTTCGTTGGGTTTATGTATGTATTTACTTGTGATTTAGACATACATATTCATGGCAAACAATTTAACTTTTAGTTTTGATAGTCTTGAACTTCCTGCTCAAGAAGTTCCAGAGTTCTCCTTTTTGTTAATCAGACATCACATCTGCTCTTGTTTGCACTCCAAATGATATTGCAGGCCTGCTTCCTAGAAGAGGACTACACAGTGTAACTGGGCTTTATTGTAATGTTCTCATAAGTGACTTCTCTTAGAAACCGATAGGCATCTTACAGTGTAGCAGTGGCAGAAAGTCAGAATCTAGGGTTTGTGTGCAGCTTTGTTGTGACCTTAAGTTTTGCTTTCTTTTCAGATTGCAGTGCTTTTGTCCACAAAGGCTGCAGAGAAAGTCTAGCCTCCTGTGCAAAGGTCAAAATGAAGGTAAGACATTTTTAACTAAAAGAAGGCTTGAAAGAAAAACTCTTAAAGTTAAAATAAGAGAGTTTAAATTAGCAAAATTCTTATGAATTGAGAGTTGAGGTCTCAGTTTTTATTTAATCATTTGGTACTAAGACCAAAATAATTTTTCTCTGAATTGATCAGTTCTGTTTTACCACACATGAATTTTAGGCTTTTGGAATTTCTATGTGTTAAATACGCTATTCTCTATGATTTTAATATTTGTGTTGCTATTTTTTTAAATTTATTTTTATCAGTACGTTTGTAGTATGATTACAGTCATTGTGAGGAGTTGATACATGTATATAACACATCTTAATTCTTTCTCTGTTTCTATTAAAGTGGGTTTTTAAAAACCATCTCTGCAGACCTATTCTGTTCACACACTTGGCTTCTTTATTTGGGACTATGTGAGCAGTAGATTGAAATCAGGGGCTTGTGATGTGCTGACAAGCAGTGGGGTGCTCTGTTTACACCTGACCTATGTGTTCTTCTCTTCATAAGTATATGCAGATAGCTATGATCATACGATAGTCATACAAAGTTGATTATATGATGGTACCTGCTTTGAGAGCATGCTATATAAATAATGTACACTGATTTTCCAGGGGCTCTTAAGAATATGGGAGCTGTGGATGGATCTCTGGGGTAGAGCACTTGCCTAGCACTGGCGAGGCCCTGTGTTCAGTTCCCTGCACTTGGGGAGGAGCTGGGCTTGGGGGAATACCTTTAAGGTAACTTGTGTGTGTTGTCACCTATAAATGTCTTTCCATTCCTTGTCAGAGAGACTTTCCAGCTACATCTCCATGAATGCATAATGTGTTGTATGAGTCATCTACATTCAGATACACCTATCTAGTACAATGGCATTGATCTTGTGTATCAACGTTCTCAAGGGCTTCCAGAAAAGAAATTTTGGAATGGGGCCCAGGAATTCGCATATCTTGATAAGTTGCTAGATGATTCTCATAGTCCTTGGACTTTACTTTGAGAAGTACTGAACTAGCATAAAGAAGGCAAACTTGTATAACCCAGACTTATTCAGCTCATAGTCATATATTTTGTTTACATCATGAAGTATGTTTTTTAGTTAGTGCATTTATTTAAAAATCATATTTTGTAACAGTTTGAGTTTTTAATTTCTCCTAGAAAGTTGGAAGGCCTCACAAATTGAAGCTCACTAGTGATTTTCATCACCCAGCCCTCCTAATTCTCCTTATTCTGCCATTTTTCTCTTTTTTCTGTAGTACCGTCTCAGAATTTGGATTCATCTGCCTTTAGTTATTAAATTAAATTTATTTTTTTATTATCTGAATCTTTCTCTAACTAAAATTTAAGCTCCAGACTCACTAGCTAGCCTGAAGCAGGCATCTTTGATGTTAATAGTCTGAGAACCTAGCATGGTGTCAAGCTTATACATCTTTAAATACTGGAAGATTTAATGGCAAAAAGCAATCAGCTAGACCTGAGTGGCTGCTGCCTTTTTTTTTGCAGAAAAGGATATACAAGTTCCATATTGTCACTCTCAACTTCTGTCATTGTTACTTGCGCCTTACCCCACAGTATTTGAATTCATGTCTGATAAAATTTATTGCTATTTTGAACATACCAGATTCTACAGAACAATGACAATACAGATGATAGCATTGCCCTCTAAGTATAACCTAAATGAGGAATTCTTTTTAAATTGGAAGTAACCTGTTTTCTTTAATGATTTGTTAAATTAAAATACTACAGTCTTTGATTTTTTTTTTTTTTTTTTTTACATTGGCAACTGAACCTAGGATCTTTGCACTGAGCTATAGTCCTAGCTCTTTTTAAATTACTAAATTTTTGAGACAGGGTCTCCCTAAGTTCCCCAGGCTGGTCATGAACTTGTGGTACTCCTCCCTCAGCTGAGTGCTGAGATTACAGAAGTGTGCCACCAATACTGGCTTATAATTTCTTGGAGTTTTTTTTGTTCTATTTTGTTTTGTTTTTTGATACGAGGGATCCAGCCCAGGTCCTTGCATTTGCAAGGCAGATGGCAGAACCAATGAGCTAAATTCCCAGCCCTTTTGGAGTATTTTTTATATATGTCAGACAAATGTCTTAACTAAAATGAGCATTTTACCAAAGAATTTGACACTTTATAAATGTTACTCACTGGAGAAACAATTGAGAAAATCTCTGATGCTCCTCTTGAGGAACCGCTAGTCTAGTGGGAAGATAGACAAACACTTGCCGTAGATAAGGAAAAGTTATGTGAGAGATATGCAGGGATTCCAGGTATGCTAGTTGCTGCCTGAGGTGAGCAAAGGAAAGGACGTAATGGTGACTTTATGAAGGAGGTAGTACTTAAGCTGTGTGGAAATGGAAGACTGCCAAGTGTGGAAAGAGAAGAAAAACAAGTCTGGGAAAAGAAACAGTACCTGCAGCACTGAATGCTCTACAGGCCTAGAGGATGGCTAGTGGGTGTGACAGGGCCACAGGGTGTTGCTGGCCAGTGCAAAGGACAGAGCCAGCAGGCTGAACCATTCTCTTTTCATTCTAGGCTGCTGTAAACGTGGAAGGGTTGCAAGTGCAGTCTTCATGTATTTATTCTGTTTCTTTAGCAGCCCAAAGGGAACTTCCAGGCACAGGATACATCATCACTGCCTGTCATCATGAGAAACAAGTGTAAGTAGCTCAGCCCACCTTTCAGTACAGTTTTGACTAGTTCTGTTGTGTGTTGTTCATTTCTTAATCCTCATCACTATTTGAATACCTATTGTTTTTAAGGTGCTGTTGTTTTGTCCTACAGATTCGTTGCCAGTAGCTTAACATTATACCATTAAGCTGTCTTTGAAGACCTCTATAACAGGGTGTACATTAGCTTCAAAGGCAGCACTGCAGCCTGTGTGTGAGCAGGTCCCCTTTGCAGCCCATTACCTCACAGTCTATGAATCAAATGAAATCTTGCTTGTTAAATGTGCTTATTCACAGTGAAGTTATGTAAATGGTTTATTCCTCCCCCCACCCCAAGGACAAGTGGTGTACCAAATCGAGTAAATCATACTCTCCCTTCATATCAAACTATTTTTAGTCTTTGTGAGGCTTTTCTTTGGTTTTACTTAATATTTTTCTCTTTTTAATCTTCATCCTCTACTCACTTTTTCCTATCTGCCCTGCCTTTAAACATATGCATATCTTGGGGAGGAGCTTTTAATTCTTTCCACTGAATATAAATTAGATTATGTCACTTATGTGTATATATTCTCATTTTTTTCAATATTATTTTGAAGTTATGCATGTTACTACTACAAGATGTTGTTTCATACTGCTGCATGCTCGCTCTCGTAAGCATATATCACATTTTAAATTACCACTTGCCCTCAAATATTTAAATTGCTTCCAACCCTTACCATAAATAATGCTGTAATTATTATCTTCTTAATTGGCTCGCTGGAAATCTTTATTTGAAGGCAGTGTTTTTTGAAGTGTAAGTCCAGGATTAATTAGACATACATATTCTTGGGCTTTACCAGATCCTACCAGGAACTCTGGGGGAAGAGCACAATTACCTGTGTTTTAATAGATTCTCTGAGTGATCTTGATATTCTCCTAAGTTTGAGAATTACTGCTTTATATGTAGTTCTATAAGTTCTTCCAGGAAGCTCCAGAATGGCTATGCCAATCTGTACTCCCACAGAACGTAAATTCCCTCTAGGCATATTGTCTGGTTAATTTGTCTTTACATTTAGATGATTAGAAGAAATGCTTTGCCAGATTAACATCCACTTCCGTCTGTGGATACACTTCCGTCAGCCCATACCACATACCTTTTACAAGTCTAAAACTTTTTTTCCTGTGAGATTATCTTTTGTTTCAGAAACTTGTTTATTTTCTTCCACAGCAGATAAAACATTTATTTTAAAAGTCCGTACTGTGTGCAAGGTTCTTTACGTGTATTAGGCTTGACCCACACAAATGTTTATTCGTATTTTATCTCACTGAGGCAAGATAGTAGTTGAAAGTATTTATGTATTTGGGTTACATAGGTTGAGTCCTAATTAGCTGTGTAACCTTGAATGTTACTAAATCTCTCCGCCTCATTTTCCTCCTCTGTTAAAGAGGGGTGATAGTAGTATCAGGGTGGAATTCAGGCTTAAATGAGATTATAAATTACTCATTCAGCACTCCAGAATTCATTGACATCATCATCACCATCACCATCATCACAGTTGATTGTGATAAAACTCAAAGGCACTAAGTACCTTTCCCAGTTGGATTGGTTTCAAACAAGGAATAGCTGTTGTTTTCATCCTACTCTGCTGCTTCTTAGATATAACTTGTTCCTTATAACTTTTAGGACTCTACATAATATTCTGCTTTTCTCCACTCCTTTATATACAATTCTTAGCAGAATACCCTCTTTTTCCTCTGACCTATCCATATCCCTACCATTCTTCAAGAGCACTGCTTCTTCCTCTATTTTATTTGCTTCCTGACCCCTTCCCTTTTTGAAACTCTGACATTCTTCAGACTCTTCACACTGAAGCATTCTTTCTTTTCCACCAATTGCTGTAATTGTGGGGGCCTGTGTCTCAAACTCTCTATGTACCCCCTACAGCAAGGTGTTACAGTATATCCTGTTTTGGGTACAGTTTTTATTGTTTTGCCTAAAACAGGATTTGAATTGAAAATGATTATATCTGTCAAACCAAAAGCATCCTGAGGGGCTGGGGATTTAGCTCAGTGGTGCCACTGCCTGCCTCACAAGCACAAGGACCCAAGTTCAATCCCCAGTACAGGAAAAAAACAAAAAACATCCTGAGATATATACAACAACCGAATCTTACTGCCTTCATCTCTTGACATTCCTGGCATAGGCAGATAATGGAGTTCATGTCTAGGGTATAAGCTTAGTTATCAAGGGAAAAATGACTTGTTAACCATGTGCCAGTATGATTGCTTCAGCAAATTAGAGCTCCAATTTTCTCTCAGGTTAAGGAGAAATACATAGTATGAGAACCAAATAGTTTTGAGACATTAAAGTAAAACTACATTTTCTTCATCCTTAAAGGCATTGGTCAGAATCTGTACTTTTAATGATTGAAAGAATTACTTGAGGAATTGGCAAATATGCATACTCCTAGGTCCCATCCCAATGGACAAAATGCAGCTGGGAATTTCATACCTAATAAGTTCTTCAGATATTTCATGAAGGAGTTTCAAAAGGCATTAGTCTTAGTTATCTCTAAGATTCCTTTTTGGGGTGTTGGTACTGAGGATCGAACTCAGGACCTTGCACTTGCGAAGCAGGTGGCAGAACCACTGAGCTAAATGCCTAGCCCCTTTAAGATTTCTTTTACCCTACAAATTTTTTCAGTCTTATTTTATTTTGTATTAGTTAACGTGTTTAATACTCTTTCTTTTTTTTTTTTTTTTTTTTTTAAGGGTTTGCATTTAGGTCCTTTGGCT